GGAGGAGGTGGAGGAGGAGGTGGAGGTGGAGGTGGGGGAAGTGGAGGTGATAAGCCGGGTTGTGGTTTGGGCAGATGGACCAATCCCCTCCTTTGCCCTTGGACGCAGCCTTGGTCTTCTGGGAGCGGCTGCCCGGCATCCCCGTGCTGGAACACCTGGACCTCAATGGTCCACTGAGCCCTTTTGTGAGTGGGCGTCCTCTAGCATCCCGTCCCCAGGGCCTGGAGACACTGCAGACCCCTGGGCAGTTTGTGCAGGCTGGAGGCGGATGGTAGGACCACCCGATTCACAAAGTCTGATTCACAGAGTCATCGTCATGCTCCCCTTGAGGTGGCTCGGGCTGGGGCCCACCAGGAGGGCACCGCGGGGCCAGCAGGGCAGTTGCCCGGCTGCCTCCTTGACCACAGCAAGGCACGGACCTGGGTGACCTTGTCCATGGGAGCCGGCTTCCCGGGCTCCACAACGACCGCAGAGCGGTCCGGTCCTCTCACTGCCGCTTCTGTTTCCTCCGAGTGTGAAGGCTCACCTTGCTTTGGTGCCATGGAAAACCCGAACACCCTTAGTAAGAGCTGCCTGTCAGATCTCCAGTGACGAACAACTCCCATCACCCTGCTTGCAACCGTGTCACCCCATGTGCGTGGTGGGAACTGGGGACTCAGTGGCCCCCTTTTACCCATTGCCACATCCGAGAAGGCAGTGTAATGGCACCCTGGCCACGGGACCAAGAGACCAAGGGGGGAGGGAGTGACTCCTCGAGCCTCTCTCCAGGACCCTGCACCTCTGCCCCTCCCACCAAGGCCCAAGGACGTGGCCACATGGCTCACCTCTGGGACACAGCTCCAAGCCCCTCTGTCTCGAGCCCATGGAGCCCCCAGCTCCAGAACAGCTCTCCGGGCAGCCAGGGTGCGGCCACGGCCCAGCCGCAGCAACAGAGAACGCAGCCAGCAGCCAAACGCTTTGTTTTATTTCATGCTGGGACCAAAGGCCCATGGACGCCCTTCTCCACCGCTTTACCAAGAAAGTAGCACCGCCCACTCCCAGCCTCCTCCCGTGACCCGGTCCCAAGCCCACAGAGCAAGTGCCTAGAATCAGGATTGTTTTGTGAGTCAAATGCATAGCTTCCCAGAGGCCACGAGCCTGCCTGGCTCAGCCTTGGGTCAGGTGGACCCTGCCGCTAAGGGGGAGCTGGGCCGGGGGTCTGCAGGAGAGGTGCGTGGGAGAGCCCCGGGTGGTCTTCCAGGTGATGGTGGGGACAGCGCCTGGGGTACTTAGGGAGGCCGAGGCTTTCCTCTTGTTTCACGCGGCCTGTTGTCACGCCCCCTTCGAAACAGGCAGAGGGGGCAGATCCACCCGAGAGCCTTTCGCCCGGTGGCCGTGGGCTCCAGGATAGGTGAAGCAGCCTATCCGGGATAGGTACCTGCAGCCTCACATGGTGTAGGCTGCCCAGTAGACGACATTGACCGCCACGAAGGCAGCAGGGAACACTGCGCGGGCGTAGATGTCGATGGTGTCTGCGTCGATGGGCTTAAAAAGCCCACGGAGGCCTCCCTGGCCCCCCGAGCGGCGCCCGCCCCGCTTCTTGGCCTCCCCCGTCTCCATCTCCACACACCTGTAGGTGCCCATGAGGTTCCCAGGCGTGCGGCAGGGCCGGCGGGACACTGCCAACTCCTGGGTGACGCCAGCGGCCGACAAGGAGAAGAGTACAATGGCATTCTTCACGTCCATCTGCACAGGGGGACGGGGCAGGGCTGAGCCAAGGGCGGGCTCCGCTCCAGGACCCCCCACCCGGGCCACGGCTGAGTCCCTCGGCAAGTGTCGCCGTGAGCAGCAGCAGGCAGGGCCTGCTCTCCTGTGCCCGGGGGCTGCAAGCGAACCCCCCAGAGCAGTAGGCAGAGGGTCCTGAGTCGGTCCCGGGAAGAGTGGCCCCACCAGCACTGCCCCTCTGTGTCGGTGGCGGGGGGTGTGTGTGGAGGGCATGGGGGGCTGTCCTTGGTGCTGAACACAAGAGCGCCCACAGGCTCAGCCTCACCTCTGTTCTCTGCTCTGTGGCCTTGACCTTGGCCTTTTGCTTCTTCCGGTAGTCAGCATTGAAGTGGGCAAAGGCATACTCCACCAACGCAGCAAACACGAAGACGTAGCAGATCCAGAAGTACACGTCCAGCGCCTTGATGGCCGAGGCCCGCGGGAGGGAAGAGCGGGCACTCACCATCAGCGTGGTCATGGTCAGCACCGTGGTAATGCCTGCCGGGAATGGGTGGTGCCATTGCTGGGGCCCCTGCCACCTCCCTGCCCTCCCCACCCCTGCCCCAAGCCCAAGTGAAATTCAGACTCTTGTGACCAGGCCTGGCTGGCCACTGGCTTGGAACAAGGGGCTGGAAGGCAAAACATGGGCTCATGGGGAGCAGGGTTGGCGTCCTGCTCCTGGGCTCCCGCCCTTTCGCCAGCTCCCTCGGAGGAAAGGTCAGCGCCCCGTACCTAGAGACACCCTGGCGGGCACCGCTGCCTGGCTGATCCAGAAGGAGACCCAGGACATGGCAACTAGGAGGATGGAGGGCATGTAGGACTGGATGATGTAGACGCCCCGATTCCTCCGGAGATGGAAATGCAGGCTGAGCCGAGGGAACTGACCAGCTGCGGGAGAAACACTCCCTGCTGGGACCTGACCCACCACACACTGTGGCACCGGGGGGCAGGGGGTGCGGGTGGAGAGGAGGGCTTGGCAGGCACAGAGGGGGGCACCACTTCAAGCCTCACACCCCTGCCTTCCCCACTTTCCCCACACAGCCTGATGGATCAGGAGTCTCCTGTGCCCTGGGCCTTGTCCTGGGAGAGAGGCAGGGCCACCCGGAGGCAGGAGAGGAGAAAGATCCCAGTGCTGCACTGGCCCAGGGCACTCTCCCGGAGTGTGGCCAGCTCTTCCAGCCCTCCCTGGAGCCCAGCCAAGCGAAAGGAAAGAGCCAGCTGGGCTGGCTGGCACCAATGAGCAGGCAGTAAGAGCTGGGAAGGGGCAGGAGGGGTCAGGACAAAGGCAGCCCCAGGTGAGCCCCACACCCTTCGTGTCCCCCCCAAACCGCAAGCACTGAGAGCCTGCAGGAAGCAACCAAGGGCCGAGGAAAAAGGCAGAGAGAGCCTGACCCATATCTGCACTGTGGCGCCCTGAGTCCCTCGGTCGGGTGCAGCCTGTGCCCATCAGTGCTTTTCCAGGGGCATCCTCAGGGGGTCCTCAGAGCCAACTAACGGCTTGGTTAAAAGCGCTAGAAGCCCGCGAGCCAGGCTCCCATGAAGAGGCCGCGAGAAGCCGCGTTACCCGATTTGAAGTTCATGAGCTCCGTGGCAAAGTGGTAGCTGGTGATGGTGAACTGGGCCAGCTGCAGCTTGTTTAGCCCGTGGATCTGCTCCTGGTTCTCAGACCAGTAGTACACGATGTCCTCGGATGAGTAGCCATCTGCAGGAGAGCCCCAGGTGGTGTCCCCCGGCACAGGGGGCAGGGGACAGCACAGGACACCCAGCCAGGGTCGAGAAGGCCTGTGGCCATGCCCAACCTCCGGCAGGCAGACAGGACCAGGAGAGCTGGAGAAAGGGCAGGCCGCCATCTCTAGGGGACTCGCAGGGGCTGTTACGCTGGCTCGATGACACAAATACATGCCTTGTCCGGGCTGCACACCCGTCTGTGACCCGTGGGAAGAGGGTCGGGCCGCCCAGGCCTTCCAGCTCCCTCTCTGCCTTCTCTTCAGCCCAGGCTCCTCGCTCCACAAGTCCTATCCCAGACGCTTCCCTGTCCCCGAGCCAGGCCGGCTGCAAAGGTCCCTGGCAGCCCGAGTCCCCTCTCCCCCCGCAGCACAGGTGCTGAGCAGAGCCCCTTGCCCGGCCCCGGAGGGGCACTCACAGCTCTCCAGATGCAGCATGCACTCTTGCTCGTCCATGGGGTATTTGGCCAGGTCCATGTCGCAGGCCACCGTGGAGGTGATTCTGCCCAGACAACATGCTGGTGAGGCCTCCAGGAGCGAGGCCAGCTCCCGAAATCCTGAGGCCCTCCTGCCCCACCCCCCAGATTTTTTTAATCTCCTGGTTTTTAAAATGTTGGCCGCTAACTCTGTTTTTAAAAGACACAGGTCAGAAAACACATATTCATACATGCACATGTATGTTCGGGACAGCTCAACACACAATAGCCAAAAAAGTGGAAACGGTCCAGTGTCCACGGACGGATGAGTGGATACCATGTGGTGGAAGGTTACTCGGCCGTAAACAGAAATGACATCCCGGTAAACACCATGACCCTCAAAAACACTGTGCTGGGTAAAGGACAGAAGGCAGACACAGAAAGTCACGCGCTGTATGATTCACTTTATCCGGAAGGTGAGGTCGGTGGGGCGGGCGGACGGATGGAGAGCGAGCACTAATGGGCGTGGGGTCTCCTTCCTGGGGAATGAGACCTTCTGGAGCCAGACGGGATGTTTGCACAACACTGAGAACGTGCTAAATGCCACTGGATCCTTCACGTTCAAATGGTGAATTGTATGTTATGTGAATTTCACCCCCACGTGAAAAACCAAAAGCCACCGTGTTGGCCACAGAGCTGCATCCGTGGGCTTCTTCCCACGGCCGCCTCTGCAGCTGCCGTTACCAGGCGGTATGGGGCGCCGCCAGAGGACGGACGACCCATCCGGGCTCCCGTCTGAGCATCTTGGGGGGGCCGGTCCAGGGCTCACCGGATGCTGTACAGGATCACCCCGTCAGGCTGCAGCCGGATAAGCTTGTTCTCCACAGTCACGTCGTGGAACCAGGCGGACTTGGCATTCACAATGAAGGTGTCCGGGAGCCACAGCTTGTCCACGAAGCGGCTGTCCAGGCCCAGGGTCTCGTTGGTGTGGTTGTAGGCCAGCCTGCTGTCCCGCCAGCTCTGGTGCAGGAACACGGTCATGGTGTATTCCTGCAGTGGGAGGCGGGAAGGGACACTGGCCGTCAGCCCCGCTCCTCTCGTGGGGGCCCACAGCCAGGGGTGGGTGGAGGCTGACCAGCACCTACCATGTTCACCTCTGAGATGTGGTCGATGCTGGCCACCTCGATGGCGAGGGCCACGTTCACAGGAGGCCCTGCAGGGAAGAGGCTGAAGCCAGGCTCCCCACCCAGTGCAAGCCCAGGCAGGCAGGACAGGGGTCAGCCAGGGTTTTGCAGGGAAGACCATGTTGGAGAGAGTCTGCCACGAGACCCTTCTGAGAAGACCCACCTTCCCAGCTGTCTCCTGGGGGCGGGGGGCTACCGTCGAGGTGTGACACATGCCCTGGGGACCACAGACGCACCCCCTGAGGGAGCCAGCCCAGGGCCGGCAGGGCTCACCCCCACAGCCGGACGCAGAAGACTCCCCCGTGCCCCCACTGGCCGCCCTCACCTCCAATGCCAGGCCGGAAGTTGCGAGCATAGCCCTCTATCAAGCCATCCAGGTTGGGAAGCCAGGATATCTCCAGATTGGAACCAACATAGTCCCCAATATCATTCATTGCTCTGGAAACGCAAGGCCCACTGGTCACAGGCAGGGTGCCAGGGACGGAGCCCAGCTCCCTTCCTCGGCACCTAAGCCAGGGGTGGGCGGGGGCGACCACGGCGAGAGCCCCTCCAGGCTGGACCTGGCCAGTCCCAGTGAATCCTGCCAGAAACGAGGAGCCCCAGGACTCTTCCACCTCAACCACCAGCCTCTGCTCAGCTTCCGCCGGCCCACCTAGCCTTGAGTGAGCCTTCCAGGTCACACAGAGTCCCCAGCCTCCCTCCACAACTGGTTCGAGGAGGGTGGCCAGCCCAGAGCCCCCGCCCCTGGGGACTCTGGATGAAGAGCCTTGGAGGACCCCGACAAGGCACATGGCCCCCCTTTCAGCCTCTGATGGCAAAGTGTCCTGCAGGAGGTGACCTGGGAGAAGAGCTGCGTGACCAGGAAGGTGAGAACAGAGAGAAGGAGGGGATGGGTGAGGTCCCACGCCTGACCCAGGCCAAGGCTAAGGGCCCATGGGGACGCTGGAGCCGACCTCCTGCTCTCTGTGCCTTTCCAGGCAGGCCCAGCCCTGGCGGCAGTGATCCCCAGTTGTCATGTGCTCCTGAGGCTTAGCCTGACCCCAGAGTGGGTTCCAGACTAGTCCAAATGACAGCCTGTGCTGGTCGTCTCTGGCAGGGCTGCAGGGGCGTTCCACACGTGGCATCTTGTGGCCTGTACACACCAGACTGCCCAAAGCCCCCCCCCCCCCCAGCAGTCCACCCACCCACCCCTCCTTGTGCTTACCTGTCCTGGGGTGAACCGGGTCACCCAAAACTCACGTCCACCCAGAACCTCAGAATGGGACCTTATTTGGAAATTGGGCTATAATTAGTTAAGATGATACCACGCTTGATTGGGGTGGCCCTCAATCCAATGAGTGGTGTCCTTATAAGAAGAGAAAGCAGACGCACAGCGAGAAGGACATGTGACAACAGAGGCAGCGACCAGAGACATGCAGCCACAAGCCAGGGGACACCAAGGGCTGGAGAGAAGCATGGAATGGATTCTCCCCCAGAACTCTCCAGAAGGAACCAACCCTGCCCTCGGACTTGATCTTGAGTTTCTGGCCTCCAGAGCTGGGAAGGAATAAATGTCTCTTAAGCCCCCTAGCCTGTGGTCACTTGTTACTGCAGGCCCCAGGAAGTCACACAGCCACCCCCTCCCGCCCACAGAGCAAGGCCCATCCACAGTCAGGCAGGAAGTGAGGGGGGCATTCAGGAGGGCATTCAAGAATGACTCTCTTGTGTTATCTGTAATGACGCTGCACTCACAGGTGGGTTCTCAAACACCTGGAAGGCTGCCTGGGTTAGGGAAGCACCAGCAGCTGGGCACCCAGCCCCTCCTCTGTCCCACACGCTGGTCCTTGGAAGAAGGTCAAACTTGAACCAGGAGCTCCCTAGCTAAGGACACTCACAAACCCCTGACCTATCCCGTAGGACCACCTTAGGGCCTCTAGGCAACGTCCCGGTCTGGTCCAGGGTGGGGTAGGGCCGGTGATTTGCTAACAAAGTATAAGGAGGAACTGAATGAAGTCCTGGACCCAAGTAAAGCACAGTGAAAAGTGCACATGGAGGTCACCCTAACGATCAGACGTAAAGGGACTCGAATTAGGTTTTATTTTTGGACTGGCCCAGCTGCCATCTTGCTGCAGCAGCTCGCCTGCCGGGAACAGGGCTGTCCGGAGACATACCATCCTTCCCCGGCCTCAGGGTGGTGGCACAGGCAGGCGCCCCTTCCCTCAGCTGGGTCCCATGCCCACTCCCAGGCACAAGGCAAGGCCACGGGTAAGCCCCCGGCCACAAAGCTCACCTTGACGTGGCAGGATGCCAGTGGACTTCCTAGACTTCGCCACCCCCAGGAGGTGTGAAGGGAATGGACTCCCTGCCCCGTGTCACTTCTCACCTAGCACAGGGGCTGTTCATTTTTCCAGCTGTGAAGAGATGCCGAGGGCCATCCAAGGAGGATGTACTAATGCTAGCCCGGGTGCTGGAGAGCCCTGCTTTCCTCGCACGGTTTAGGTGGGCAGGTAAAGGAGTGGACGGGGCACACACTCTATGTGGGGGGAGGTCGTGGTGCCTCTGATCAGCACCTTGGGGGAGAGGTTCTGCCTCATCTGGTCGCCTTGAAACCCAAGATGGCCTAGGGTGGGGGCTCCCGTTGTGCAGACAGAGAAACTCAGAGACACATGCTCAAACTCCTGGGGTGAAGTGGGCACCATGAAACACTGGCGGCGGCTGCTCGGGCGCCATCAGGCCTCCCTCCCTCGACTGGCCCCTTGAGTAAACAAGCCCACCCTTGTCACTTGTCCGTGCCCCTGGGGCCAGAGAGGAAAGGTGGGTGCAGCTGAGCAAGGCGGTGGGGCCCTCCTCCCTGCAAGGACCCTTCCAGCGTGCACACACAAGCCCACAGTCCCTGGCAACTCTGCTCTCGGAGCAGCACTAGCTGCGCTGGCCCCTCAGTTACCAAGGATAAGAGGAACAGCACGACAGTCGCACGGTGAGCTAGCAAAGCAGGAGACACACACAGCTTCTCCAGGGAGGTGGAGGTGCCAGCAATCCAGAGGGCCACCCACGAGGGTGTGCAGCCGGCAAGCTCGGGCCCCTGCCACATGAGTGGGTCTTCAGACTCAGGGAAGGCACAGTTTTGACCCAACCCACAAACGCTGCACAGCACATTTATTCTAACCCACCGAGACTTTCCTGCTGGGAGGCCCAGGATGTGACCTGAGCAGCGGCAGCCAGGACAGGCATCTCCTGTCCCCCTACCACTCCGGATGTGAGGACCTGGAGACCGAGGGAAAGGAGAGTGCTGACCTGCTTCTGGAGTGGAGGGTGAAGGGACAGGAAGCTGGCAGGGGAGGAGGCGCCAGATTGACAGCACTGCACTGTCTGAAGGTCACCCGCCAAGGCCCAAAAAGCCCAGAGGCTCTCCTTCCGGCCGGGGCCACAGCCTTCCAGCCTTCCTGCACGGGCAGACGGGCACACCCGTTACCCCCACTTCCAAGCCAGATGTGGGACAGAGACCAGGATGTTTCAGTTTTTAGAAAGGCGATATAATGTACATATGGACTTGGGATGGGGGCGGGGGTGGTCTGGAGAATTTCCCAGCAGGAAAGTACAAACAGGTCCCAAAAGTAGGGTGAGTGAGCTTCACGTCAGAGCAGAACAGGCTTGGCCACCAAATGAGTTTTGGTGTCAAACTTGGGCTGAGGCTTTGAGGTTCAGAGCAGCTTGGACTCCAGAATCACAGCTACGTGGCTATGCTGGACCAACAGCTGATCCCAGGCCTCCAGCACATACATCCACGGCCACGCCTCAATGCTTTGCCCTTCCCCTTACCTTGAAGTAGGAAAAGGGAAAAGGGCCATGGAGCTGGATAAGAGAATGAAGCCTTCCGAGGACAGGGGCAGATCAACATTGCCTGTGACCTTCGGCACGATGACCACCCTATGGCCAGACTCAGACCTTCCTGGCTCTGCCCCCCACCCCACAAACAAGGACATTCTGACCACATCCCCCCACCTCCGTGTCACATGCTGCCTGAGTGCCTACAGCCCAAACACAGGCTGATGTTCAACCATTTCCAGTTTCTAAGGCCTTTGACAGCAATTGATTGCCCAGAAGTCCGGAATGCTGGGGGGCAGAGGGGTGTGCTGTATTTGCTCTGGTTGTCTGCAGCCCATGCACTAAGATGATTTTCAAAAAGGGCCCTCACAACTCCCAGGAAGGTGGCGGGCATATGGCCATGGGATGCCAGACTACCTGGAGCCCATTTCAAGTCCCCAGAGAGCAGAGAAGACGTAGGGGACCCTACTGGTCCCTAGAAGCCAAAGGGAGGAAGCCACAATCCATGGGGACCCTCCTTCTTAGCCTTTTCCTTCCTTGGGGAGACAGAGCCCTCCTCCCCTCCCCCAGCAGTTAGAAATCCTGAGTCTTCTCTGTCCTCCACCCCCTCACCGCCCCCCACCCCCAGAGGCAGCTCGCTCCTTCCCACCTGCATGCTCCAGAGTTGAGTGGCTGCCATTTGAAATGGCCCCTGGAAGGAGACTCCACAGCGTCCTGGGCCCGAACTTTCTAGCGACCACACACAGCCCTCATGCCGTCCCCCCAGCCCTGCGGGCTGCAGCGGAAGCGTGTCTGTGCAGCTCGGCTCCCATGGGGAAGGGGAGCCTCCTCCCCCGTGTCCGCGGGATGGTTCCTGTCTTCCTCCCTGCAGCTCGTGCCGCGCCGAGCGCTCAGCCCGCGCCTGGAGGGGCACCAGCAGCCAGGGACCGGCCAGGTGCCGCTGGGGCCGAGGACCCCACGCGAGCCCAGGCACCGGGGCGGGGGGGGGGGGGGCGGGAATTGGGAGCGGCTCCCACGTCCGCGCGCAGCTCGGCGGCGCCGGTTCAGCACCGGGACGGCGGACAGCACCCGGGGGCGGCCCCAAGGGCAGCGGTGAGTCCGAAGCTAGGGGCCCGCGGGGGACATGGGGTGGGGGTGGGGTGCTCGCGGGGAGAGGGGAGACGAAGACTGGAGTCGACGGGGGAGGTGAAGA